AACTCTTCCCACATCCTCTCTCTCTCAAGGTCAAGTTTTTTTTCTTAATTATTATTGTTAGACACATTCTATATGCATACATATACATGTATATTTAGGTGTATGTGTGTATAAAATCTACAGAGTCCATTTAGTGTTACTCTTAAGTATATACGTATGTTTCTATGTAACCTATCAGGGGCCTCTTCCCTGGAGACGATTGATTCTTCTTCTTTCAATAGTCATTGATTGTCTCAAGCTCTTCATCTAGTAGTGAGCCTTCAAAAATTTTCTTTTCTGCATTGGCATGTTGATTGGTATTGGTATTATCTGGATCTTGTTTAGTCAACCATATTGTTAAGAAAACTCACGTGCAAAAGACAATGTATAAGAATGAATTTCTGGGAGGAAAAACAAGGAAATTTAAGGGTATACTGGAAGCTGTTTATGCTGAATAAAGACAACAGAGAAAGTGGGACAAGGGTAAGATGAGGTCTGATAAAATAATTACTTAACCATTCGGTAAGTTTTGTTTTCTTTCTTGCTTAAGCCTTCTCCCTCAAAAATAAAAAAGAAAAAAAAACTTTGTAAAATGTTCTGATCTAAATAAAAATTCTTGAAGGTTCTATCTGTACTTCAGTGCAAGCTGCTCAGCCTTCAAATGTGACAACTGTCTTCTCCCAATGATGATGCCTGAAACTGCACACTGGTGGAATCGTTGTCTTTACCATATTGTCCCATTTTTTTGCACAGGTGAACCCCAGTTCCAGTCTCTGATCAATACTCTGGAACATGACAGACCTTTGTAGGACTTTGATTATTTCCAAATTCACAATGACCTGGAATTATGTCTCTTCTTCTATGCAATTCTAGTTACCTTGGTACATTTCTGCATTCGCTTAGACTATAATACTCATGTCTGTTTGTGTGTATAACACCCTGAGATAATCAAAAGGAAGTATTGTTTATTTATAGCCCAACATACAACAGAATGCCTGGCAAACATTAGGAATCTCAAAAGATATTTGTTAAAAAGTGGGTCCATTGCAGAGCAGGCAAGCTGTTACAGAATTTCACCTGTATATAAAAACATGACTTTTATGCTTATTTTTAATGAATTAGAATCCATCTCCTTATCAATGTTTTACCTTATCGCATCAGTCCCAGCTATAGAGAGTTTAATGAGCAAATGGAACACAGGAAGAAAATGATTGACTAATATAGTGAGACTTTGTCAGCTCCACTCATTTGTGAACATGATAGAACTGTAAAATGTCAATGAGTTTTCTCATTTATGCTGTGCTTACTCAGAAGCTCTAAAATCCTGCACAAGAATTAATATGGGGCACCAATTGCTTGTGAAAGCACATGCCTCACTTGCTTTCTTACATTAGCTCACACTTTGTCTTTCCTTTGCTCCAGATCCATTTGCATGCATCCCCTTGGGATTGTTGAATCCAAGAGTTCTGACTAATTCCTTACCCCCATACATCTTCCCTTTCATCTAGCATCCCAGGTTCTCACGGGCACCCAAACCATTACCAGATGATTATACATATCATCACTTCAAAATAACTTACTGTTTTTTTAGGTTAAGTGTGTGAAAATGTTCACGTTTGTCTTTCATTACTTGGGGGTTTGGTACAGTGTATGCTGGTTGTTTGCAAAGTTATGCTGCTTGTGCCTCAGTGCTTTGCAATATTGGAAATAAATAACTCATCTGGAATCAGGTCATATTTACCTCTTTTCAAATAATTCAGACATTAGTCTTACAGGCTCCAGCCAGAAGAAAAATCCATGGGACTAACATTGTGCCTGTTCTTAACACTGTGTTCTCTGTGTAAGACCATTTCCCTGGATGAGATACAACTGAATTTGCCTGTGTGACTGTGTTTTGACAGTGGTGACATTCTGTTTACCCTTCAGAGAACCCTTTCTGCATGCAAACCACATGCTGCTTTCCCCAGTAATAGACATGGTAAATGTTAAGTGTGGCGACAATTCCACAAGAATACGTTAGTCTTACAGAATTTACTAACTTTCTGATAAAATGTTTATTACCCAGTTTGTTACATATTTGAACATGACAGGAAGCTTGCGCAGTGTGTGGGAGCTAATCACAGCATCAGCAATGGCTTATCAAGTATCAGGATGGCTCATCTCATCCTTCCCCACTATCAACATCATCATCTCACAGCCACGAGTGAACTGGAGTGAAGGCTTTTTAATTACACATACCTTTGTACACTTAACTTAAAACAACTTTCTATACAAAGTTATGAAGTTGACATTCTTTACATTTACTTCAAGCTCTATTCTCAAAGACTAAACATTATATGACAAAAACTACATTTTTTTTCAGGAACAAAACAATTTAAAAATCTTTCTTGAGATCAGTCCTTTCATATAACAACTATAACCCATAGTTGAGCAAACCCCCCAGTGCTTAGATCTCTCGAGATTAAAGGCTAGGGTGGTCATCTGGACAGCATTTCATAAATAAATGCCACGGAGAATTCATGTTCAAATAGAATGCTAGAGCAAGATTCTGGCATATGTTGAAGTCAGGCAGATCTAAGACTCAAAATCATCTCTGACCCTGTTTCTGGAAACATCTTTATGAAATCTCTTAAGGCCTGTTTCATCAGTAGCACATGGGGGAGAGGAATGCCACAGGCCTAGTGAGTTTAAGTAGCAAAGCTAGGAACTATGCACAGAATATCCCTTGCTTCATTTCTTCTTGAGAATGATGCAAATATACCACTGTAGCAGTACATTTTCCTTATTGACCCAGGTAGGATGGGCCAATGCGACATAAAAGTTGATGTGAAATGATTTACCATCTTTAGAAACCAGGTCAAATTGCTATTTTTCTAGCTAGAGCAAATAGCCCAGGAAATTTTGTGATTTAAACATAAAGTTACTTTCAATAGAAAGCCAGAAAAAATAGGTCTTCTAATTAAGTACATTTTGTATGATTAGTGCGTGGGAGAACACGACTATGGCTCATGGATTTTGCTGGAAATCTCATTAAAACAGGACTTTCTGTGTCATAGGGCAGGATAACATTATAAAAGATCCTTTATACAAACATTACAGAGGTGGTCATTATTTAGGAAAAAAAGAAAATTTGTATCTAGACAGAGTACATAGCCTCAAGCTTGTTGTGTCTTGTGAAAATGTTGTTCCTGGGTTGTACCCTCTATGCCAAGGTTCAAAACTATTAAAGAATGTCATATCCTGCCTCTGTACCTGGAATGAATCAGACAAGAGCCCATCCTCACATGGTTTTGGAGACTTCTTCCATAGTTTCCATGTCAGCAGATTTCACTGAGGTTAATCACATGATGATCTTCCAAGTCAACATCATCACAGATGATCTAAAGTTGACATGGAAGTATTATTCCTTCCTTGCCCTTGTGGTGTGGTGAGTTTGTCAGTCATGGTCTCTGGAGTTCAACCATTTAACCCTGAGCCACCACTAAGCTCCACACTTGGATTTTGGCATCTATTAACACCACTAGCTTTGATGATTGTTTGTATACAAAGCGACAGAGCCTGGCATTCTTTTTATCTTATTTATTTATTTATTTATTTATTTATTTATTTATTTATTTATTTATTTATTCATTCATTCATTCATTTATTTATTTTACAGCCTGACTGCAGTTTCCCTTCCCCCTCCTCCCACTCAGTCTCCACTCCTCCCCTCTGCCCCTCTATCCACCCCTCCTCCATAATTATTCAGCAAGGGACAGGCTTCCCATGGACTTCAGCAAAGCATGGCATATAAAGTTGCCACAAGATCAAGCACCTCTCTGTATTCAGGCTGGACAAAGGCAATCCAGCATGAGAATTGGTTCCCAAAAGCCAGTCAAAGTGCCTCTGCTTTCATTGCCAGGAGTCCCACATATAGGGCAAGCTACACAGTGGTCACCTATATGCAGAGCGCTTAGGTCTATTCCATGCAGGCTCCCTGGTTGTTGTTTCAGACTCTATGAGTTCCCATGATCCGAGCCTGGCATACTTAAAGTTCTCCCTGAGTGAAGTGCCATCATTTGGATTAAATATTTAGAATGAAATTTGGTGCCTGAATTCTGATCAGTAATATGTCTTTCCTTCTAAGGTTCTGAAAAAGTTTCTAATAGAAATTCAAATAAAGAAAAAGAAGAGAACACCTGGTTTGGTACTGATAACCATGGATTAGAACGTGAACTGGACCAGCAAGGTTTCTAGACTAATTTGCACCTGCGGATCTAGTCAGAGACAGCAGCTGGGAAACCTTGGGTGTTGATTGCTTCCAGATCTCTTATGTTGGAATAGGAACAGAAGGAAGACTGTCCCAGGATGGAAGGCAGGTCTGAATAAATGCTGATTTGATATTATGCATGTGCACATGTTGTGTTGTTTTTCCTGATCTGCTGCATTCAATACTTAAACCTTAAACAGCTCGTATTCCTCACTGAATGACAGAATACATCTTTTGCTGATGATAATGGACAGAAGGTGGGGGGGGGGCTGAAAAAGGAACATGCTGAACTCCAGGACCAGTGTAGTGTACATAATTGGGCTTAATCTTGATGTGACCTTCTAATGCAATCTCATCATTCCTGTGTTCTGTCTGTACACCTGTCTCAGCTGGTTTCCTTGTCTTCCTATGACAATGAGTAGGACAATATTTTAAATGGGAATTCAAGCTAGTATGGGATGTAGAGTTACCTAATATTTTTAAGCCTATTTTCTTCTAGAGGGAAACAATTCTACTAATGATTTAGTCACATTTCTTACCAAAAAACATTGTCTCTAAGATCTGAGGACATGTAAAAAACATGTGAAGGGTTTCCCATGAAAAAGTAGAAGCCCCAATAATGTGTTTTAAAGTTCTCTGTTTAGAGGAGATGGAAGAAGAAGTGACGTTTATTCTATTTCCACAGCATCAGAATATGACATCAAAATTCCAGAGAGCACAATCATCATAGAAACAATGAACTTATTTTGGTGTGCTTTATTTTGCTGTGAGTTTCAAACATATTTAGAGTTCTGAAATGTTGGAATTTCTAAATCCATCCTTGGCATGTGTCTTCCATAGTTGAGTAAAATTACTATGGAATTTCATCATGGCCAAATTTCCTGAGAGACAAATTAGAACTTACCAATTTCCTTTGTTGAACATTTTACATTCTGTCAACACAAACTAAGATTCCTATTTTCTATAGTCCATCTAAAAGAAAAGAATGGTTACATTACAGGTTAATTACAGTCCATTATTAGTACAGAGAAACAAATTGCATTGCTTTATTAAGCATTGCTGTTATTTACATTTTTCAAGAATACAACTTCCAAAAATAACAGTTCATGGTATATATTGAGTTCCACTTATTTTTCACATAATGTTTTAATATTGCAAGAACAAAAATAGCATAGAATATTTCCTAACCATGATAATCAGCCTGGCCAATGATGAAATGCATATAGCATGATAATCTAGATATCTTTTATTTCTTTTACACTGATAGAAGAGTTCTTAAAGTTAACAAAGTTTTGGATCTTAAGTCTCCTAAACATTGACAACATTAGTTCACTTTTTTCAGTTCTTAGATGAAGATATCAATACTTTCTAATGCATATTTTCCCATACTCTGGGTACAAGCTGAAACAAGGACAGATAGCTGCTCTTCTGATATATGTATACCTATTGTACTCCAGCATTGTGGGTGACAGAGGAGCTAAAGCCTGGAGATAGTGGTCTACTTGGTTTTAACTCAGCTGCAGAGCAATTTGGCTGAGTGAAGACTAGCATCCAGCAGCTCATGTCCTGAAGGATGTAAGGGACTTGAAGTACTGTCTCAGCTTACTAATCAGCATCTCTCTGAAGTGGTCTCCCATGAGAAAGTAGAAGATGGGGTTGATGGCACTGTTCAGAAAGGCCAGAGGCCGGGTCACGATGTACAAGGTTTTGATGACTTCCTGCGAACATCCCTGTGGCCAGCTATCCAGGCGTGAGGCGATCCTCACATTGCGCATGATATGGTAGGGTGTGAAGAGTACAGAGAAGACCACCACTGCCAGGACCACCAGGCGCAGAGGCTTGTCCAGCGGCAGGGCAGTCACCTGCTGCCTACTCCTCATTCTTAGGAAGACTACCATCTTGTAATAGAAGAAGCACATCACAGAGAGGGGAAGGAGGAAGCCCAGCAAAGTCAGGCACAGGCTGTAAATGAGGTTGTATTTAGGGTTTCCAGAACTTGCGTAGTCTTTGCAGATGGCGTCTTTGTCTGTTGGGTCAGAATTTATGAAAGGGAGTATGGGTAGGACTTCTAAAGTCACCAAGACCCAGACAGCTAAAGAAATTAGAACGGCAAACTCCTTCTTTTGCAGAACGTGCTCTCGGAAAGGATACTTCATGAGCAGGTATCGATCGATGCTGATGAAAGTGAGGAAGAGGATGCTGGTGTAGAGGTTGGCATGTAGCAAGTATCGGTTGCCTATGCAGAGAACATCTCCATAGATCCAGTTCTCTTTGGCATAACTCCTTATCAGCACCGGAAGGGTGCACAGGAAAGCAAAGTCAGAGATGGAAAGGTTAAAGAGATAGATGTTGCTGCTGTTCCAGTTCTTCAGACAGAAGAGGTACCCGAACACCACGGTGATGTTCCCAAACATCCCGAAAACGAACTCCATCCCATAAAATGTGGATAGATAGTACTTTTTCAGGATATTCTCTGCAGCCAGCCAGTTTTGACAGGATGAATTCTGTGATGAAAGCAGAAAGGAAATACAAGATCAAACCCTAGACTCTGACCAAGGATGACCAAGGACAAATGGTAGAACACTAATTGAAAACCTAACACTTCACTGTGGAGAGCTGATGAAGAATACATACATTAGTCATGCATGGTGGGGCATGCCTTTGACAGCAGGGCTGGGAAGAAGAGGCAAGCAGATCTCTGTGAATTCCAGGACAACCTAGTCTACAAAGTGAGTTTCAGACAAACCAGGGCTATGAAGTGAGACCCTGTCTCAAAAAAAAAAAAAAAAAAAAAAAAAGCACATGTTCATTTCAACAAGGCTTCATTGAACATCTTCAAACTGCATCCTTGTCTCTGAGTATGATAAGCAAAGAGTAGAGCAGGGTGGCTAATGTGAGGCAATAGATAATTTCCTGGGAAAAATCAGGGAAAAATATACAGGATGCTGTATTATAGATATGAACAAAAACGAGTAATAATTAAAATGTTAGAAGACAAAAACTGACTCCTGCAATTTGTTCTTTGACCTCCATGCCTGTACCTGCTAATGTACACGTGTGCATGCTTATGCATGAGCATCCATACACACACACACACACACACACACACACACACACACACACACACACACATGTAAATACATACATAAATAATAAGTAGAATAAAAGTGTGAGCAAGTTTTGGGATGGAGTGCAGCTCACTGTTTGGGAAATAAGAACTAGATCTCTACCTGAAGAAGAGTTGTTTCCAGACACAGGAAGAACACGTGCCAGAGCTCAGCAAAGAAACAAAAAGAGGGCTTAATAAAAAGGTAAGAGAAAGTGATTAAATAAGCAAGAAGATTACTCTAACTCACCTTTGTATCTTCAGGGCCAGACACAGATCCCTACAAATTCTGCTGAGTTAAACTGAATTGAACTCAGGAAATGGAGTAGGGTTGTTGGATACAGTTGTCTTTTTGAATAGCTTTTACCTAGTTGTATATAGTAAAGGATTTTTCTCATTTTATTAAACTTAGAACATATTACTCTACTTTAAAATACAGTTTCTTCAGATACTGTATTTTACTGGAAACCCAGGAATACTAACAATGGTCACCATGTCTTGAAAGCTAAGAGGGTAAGCAGGCACTGTGCTCAACACTTTCAAAGGACTGCTTCATTTAATACAAATATGAAGTTGGGACAGGTGGTAGAATCATTTGAGGAAGGATTTCACTGAAGTGTAGAAACTTCAGTATCATGCTATTTTAGTCAATTCCTGTGGCTATGCCAATATATCTTGTAGTGGGCAATTTAGCAATACTAGAACTATTTTACTTCTTTACAGTTAGGGAAGTACAAGATGAAAGTGCCAGCAGATTCAGTGTCTGGTGACAAGTCATGCTATTCTCCTGGCAATGACATAAGGGCATGGCAGCTTCCTTCATCCTCCGTTACAAAGGCGCTATCCAAATTATAAGAGCAAAACCCTTTGCTTTCACAGAAGTTCCGCCATTCCATATGATTAGGTCCCAGCTTGTGGATTTTGAGAGTACAATACTCAGACTTAGCCCTCGCTGAGGTCATGTTTCTAACTTTTCTAGTTTCATTTCTCTTACTGAGACAAAATGCCCTGACAAAAATGTAGCTTAGAGAGAGTTTATTTAAGCTCACACTTTCTGTTTCCAGTCCATCACAGCATGGAAGACAAAAGTGCATCACATACACAGTAAAGAGTAGAGCGAAATCAATGAGTGTGTGCTCATTTTTTTGCTTGCTTGTACTCAGCTGGATTTCTCCACATGTTTAGAGCTTAGGGATCTGCCTAGGAAATGGTACTATCCACCGTGGGCCATATTTCCAGCATCACTTAAGACAGTCACTCATAGGCCAACTCAATGTAGACAGTCTCTCATTGAGAACCTATGTCCAGGTAATTCTAGGTCATGTCACCTTGACCTTTTAAACTCAGCACCATACCAACTAATAAAACATTGTAGTAAGACCCTCTGAATACTGATTCAAATCTCCAATGTTCTGATAAATTCTCATTCTCTAGCAATAATACATTATAGTTGGAATATTTCAAGGACTTCAGTAATCTGGAAATATGTTGATTTAAAAAAAATAGATCCCAATTATTTCTAATAGCGAAAACAAGGTTGAAAACAAAATTTTTGAAAAATTTCCTGTTAAACAGGTTTCAGATTATTAGTTAGAGCCAAATAATTATTTCGTTATAAGTAAAAATAACCTGACCTGTTTTCATATGAAGCATTTAGACACTCAGTAGAGTTTTCTATGAGGAAGCTATGTATAAAATATATCTACTTTTGTCAAATTCAAATTTTATTCAAGTTGATTGCTGGTACTTTGGCAGTGTTTTATTTATGAAAATACATCATATATTTGTAGACGACATCAGTATTTTATTGTTACTCTTGTGAGGTGTGTGTGTGCTTGTGTATGTGTATAAGTACATTTGTGTTTGCATATATATTTGTACACGTGATGGCCAGAGGTTAGCATATATTTCCTCACACACTCCCTGATTTGTTGAGACAGGCTTTCACTCTGAACCGGGAGCTCACCAGTCGGCTAGAACAATTGTTTAGAAAGCATCAGGGATCCTCCTGTCTCTGCCTTTCCAGCCTATCTTGTTAGCCAATCTTGAAGCACCTTTACCAGTGACTTTTTTTTCCCATTTATCCAAATGCTTACTACAAAATTCCTTACAGTCAGCCACAATTTAACCCCCATCAAGAACAAACTACCAAGCCTTGTTGACTTTAATGTCTATGTATTTCTCAAATCTGTCACTGTTGCTCACTATATATAATTCCATCAGTCTGCGGAAGAGAACAGTTGTCTGTATGGGATTCTCCTGCCATGCCCTCATGCCTTTTCTGGCTCTCGTTCATTTCACCTTTTTCACAAATATCCAGTCTTGAAGAATCTATAGCTCAAAAATCAAATCACGTTGAGATCCTGTGTTAAAATCCTTCCAAGGACTGACGTCCGGATTCGTACAGCCCGCCCACCGCCCCGCACCCACTTCAGCTCCCCTGCCCTGTTCTAGCTCTACCCTCCGACTGCACAAAGCAGGCCCCCTGCGTTGGCCCTGCCGGCATCTCCTCACTGCTGCTTTTCCCCTCGTGCCCACATGCTTTATCTGTACTTCTTTCAGATGCCAGTTCAAAGATGCTGTCCCCGAGGTGGCTGTCTGCCTACCAAATCTAAATGAACTAGGTGCCCTCAGTGCATGCTATCCTTACCCATTAAATTTTGTCTTACCAGTTTTTACAAAGTTGTTGTGTTCATTGCTTATCTTCTACATCTGCACAGTGGCTAACAGATAGTATGTGGTCTGGAATTGCATGCTGAATAGAGAGGGCCGGAAACCTGACTGTTTATAAAGCAGTTTCATAAATACTTCCTCCAAGGCTAGAGAAATAGTAAATCCACAGAATGAGATCTACCAATCTACTTCACCATAAAAGTTTAGCCTGTCCATTATAGGACACATATACAATATATATAAAATCAGTCACTATGGTAGTGAGACCTCTGATTTATAAACATATTTGTATAAAGAAAGCTTTAATATGTAACTTCAAGAATTGGTTTAAGGATTTAAGATATTTCATTAGAGTTTAAACTGAAATTGCTAAACATGTAGAATTCTAAAAAGATATATACCAAAATACTAATGACTCCAGACTTATCAGTAAGATTCCAGATCACTTTTATTGTGTTATTTCTCCTTTGACTTATCTTTGTATTCTATCTGTCTGTCTGTCCATGCTTATTTAGTTGTTTTTAAATACACCAAAGTATGCATATAGTTATTAACACAAAACTTTTAAATTACAAAAAATTAAAAAATGGACCCTGTATATCAGTCCAGTCAGATAAGTATAGTTTCCATCCCTCATTAAAGAAGTTCCTTTTTTCCCAGATGGAGACTATTGCAGATATCCACAACTGGGAAACCTAGAGAATAAGTAACTGTAGGTTATCCAGCCCCAGTCAGTACATCTACAACCTCTAAACCTAAGGCTCAGACAACATTGTGGAATGGGGGCAGAATGACTTGAAAAGGTAGAGGAACAGCTGCCTACTGTGAAATAGTGTCTTCTAGACACGGCAGGGAAGTTGCACCCAGAAAATTTCAACAAAATGCTTGCCTAAACAAGACTAACATAATGACAACACCTGTTGAGATGCCAGTATGAATGGGAGATTTCAGAAGAAGCTACCCTTAGTTGAAAAGTTAATGACAATCCACCACTGTTGGGAGAGGGGAAAATTAGATTTCTCTAGGGATGAGCCTCCTGGTGTTATTGAATCCCAAGTGATCACCTCTAAGAATGTGTATGTACAATCAACACTAGATGGACTTAATGATGGGTTATGTATACATATACATGTACATCTACCTATGTATCTATATTTGTATGTATCTATTCACTAAATATGTGTCTTTCTGTGTGCATATATGTGTGTCTAACTAAAAATTACAGAAGAATTTGAGGAAAGGAAGAACACAAGAGAAGCTGGATGGGGGCGAGACAGGAGGAAATGATGAAAATATAATACTTGTGGATGAAATTTTCAAAAATTAAAAAAAAAAGAAAAAGGAGGGACATGGACATGGACATGTCTAATGACATGCATGGTTCATTAGACAATGAATGTTTCTCACTGTTAGACTCAAATCTGCTGCAGCTTTCAATGCCATGAGTTTGGAAGCTTTTCCCTCCTTGCCTTCTAGACCATCGCAATCTTTTTCTCCCTTTTCTCCGTTTGCCAGTTCTTTTGTAGCTCATCCTTACTTGTCGAGGCTTTAATGTTGGAGTTCTTCAAGACTCAGTTTGTGATCATTATGTCATGTAGGAAATACTGATTTGCTGGTGCATGCATTAAATGAAAATTAAGACATTAGAAAGTTTCCTTGAGATAAGAAACTCATTTGTTTGATTTTGAATTTCCTCTTCCTCTTTCTCTGATTATACCGGATCCCATTTAAGCTGAGGAAGTGCCATGGGCTTATGTAATTTATATGGATCACAAAATGGAATGGAAAATGTATCCACCAAGACATGTGCAACTCGATGCCCGGCTGCCAGTAGCTACCAATCATCAAGTCAGGGGACAAGTGGAAGTGACGGAGAATTCTGTTTTCCAGGGATCCTGAGAGTCTGAAGACTGATGCTTTAGTAAAAACAGAGACTATCAGGGCCAGTTAAGGAAAATAAATGGCTAAATTAATTGATTACTTTTATTTATTAATCTGTACCTTTGTCTTGCTTCTCACAGAGTGAATCTTGCTTTAAGAACAAACACCCACCACCACCACCACCACCACAACTTTCAAAGTGTCTATATTCAGGTTGACTGTGTGTCTTTGGATAAACAGTTGGTATGCTCTTCCCTGAGTAACACTATTGCTCCCACTCTGGACATTCCTTAGTTGACTGTAGTTCTTTGTTAGGGTTGAGACCTCGTGGTCTCTCCCCATGCACTTCAGCATGTCTATTGTCTTTGTTCAGCCCAGTTTTGGCAGTCATGTTGGTGAGACTTTGTGGGTTCAGCTTCTGCCATTACTAGGAGACACAGTCTCACAGGAAACTCTCTGCTCTTACAATCTTACAGTCTTTATGCCCCCTCTTCCACAACAAGCCCTAAGTCTTTGTTTTGGATGTTGTTTTGTAAATAATGTTATATGGACTGAATAGGTCGTATTTTGGAATATACATTTTCATATAGGCATGTGACAACAATTAATGAAGAAATAGGCCATGAATTTGAAAGAGAGCAAGGAAGTGTATAGAGGAAGGCTTAGAGAAAGGAAAGGGAAGGGGGAAATAATGTAATTATAATATAATATAAAGTACAAGAAATAATTAAACAAACAAAATCAGAAAGTATGTGGATAAAGTACATATTAATTGCATAATACAGTGTGGATACGAATAGCAAAACATCAAGGAAAATTTTAAACCAATCAGTCCTAATATTTTTAATACTTTAATATTATTGAAATTTTGTTTGTTAAAATGCAGTTCTGCTTTTCAAGATGTCTTATAAGCTATTTCTTTAATATAAATGTTTAAACTAGTCATTCTTATAGCCCTTTCCACATTCATAATATTAACAGGTTAAGGTTTCCTTGAGATAGGCTATCCAATATTTGTAGGCTGATTCAACTTCACGAGGACACACTATTTTGAGAATAATATATTCCAAATTCAGTAATGTGTATATTGGAGTGTGTTTTTCTTATGATGTCATTATACAAATTAGAGAAGCAAAGTGTGTTCATTTAAGCAAAATTCCCAATACAAGGGGCATTTCTCAAGGAATATTACTAGCCTCTCACTTTCTGGGAGCCATCCTATTTATAGGCAATGGACATGCTGACTAATATGCTGTTACTTATTCGAGTAAACCATTAACAGAACATGTTCTTTAAGAAACACATTGATAACTAAAGTGAAATCATTAGTTCTTAGCCCACAAACACCAAGTCTATTAGTATTAATATGCTACAAGTAAGCTGAATGCACTCATAGGGGACAATTAGTACTCATTTTTAATTTCAACTGATGGAAAATTCATTATAATCAGTTCTCCTAAATGTAAAAATAATGTATGCTCTTTATCAGAAATTTAGAAAATTGATATTAATAAAAAATCCCCTCTATTCTAATAAAAAATGTTTTTCTATATCCTTGGCCATTATAGAGAGCCTAACAGAAATTAAAATTTTAACTGCCACTGGAAAGTTACATAGTAATAAAGATATTTCAGCAAGTTACTTTCATTATTAAACAAATTAAATAAAACTGTATTTGCATGTATAAAAACACAAGCATTTGGTACTCATTAATTACTTCATTTTTCTATATTCCACAAATGAGACCAAAACACTAAAAATTATAGTATGTATCAAGTTACATCTTTCATTAAATTGTTAAAGAATAGCTTATACAGTTTGAAAAGTTCTGGTGAGTAGACTAGCAATCACTTCTTCAATTTATGACTTTAGAAAATCTTATCCTTAAATATACTCATTTTGCTACATGTAAATACGAAATTCAAAGTTTATAATGATTTAAAATTCACCCTATTATATTTTTCTTTAAATTTACTTGGTAAGTTATTTTTCACGGTGCAAGATAGTTCTCCTCTTCTGTAAATACTTTTATTTATTTAAATCGTTTTACTTATTTTGCTGAGGCATTATCAAATACAGTGGACCTTTTGAAGTAAAATAAACTTAGCATTTAACCACCAAATCAGTGCATTTAGTGTGAGCCATAGGAAGCAGATGTGAAAGTCAGATGTGACTGCATTGCCCTTTGCTGCTTCACATCTACTTAAGAATAGTTCCCTGGGAACGCCGTTTAGCTCACAGGCCACTTTCTGAAGAAACCCTCCCCACAAAGCCTGGCCTTCCTTAGTATGTCCAGGAGGCATGGGCTATAGTATCCCTTACCATTCTGCTGACGGCCTCTCTCTTGACAGAAACTCTGCCAGGAACTGGAGACAGCTTCTGACCCAGTGCTGTGTCGCCGGACATGGCCAGGGCAGTCTGATTTGCATATCATGCAGCCAAGATTAATAATTCAAAAGGCAAGGGTAATTTATTCAGATGAATCTACAAGTCATGCAGAGGAACTGTTGGAGAGTGAAGACACAACAGATGACTCATGTCGCAGGAAACACTTTTAACAAAGACATCTTGAGAACACTCTAATTGAAATTATTGTATGCACTCCCTAAACAGCAAAGAAGCGTTCTTTCTTTCCACATGTATGCACACATTTAGATAATAAGGAATAGCAAACATTTTATGTTTAATATATAGTTGGAGTCACTTTTTTTCCTTGCTTTTCACATTTTTGGTGACTTCTGTTATTAAGTGTACAATAACTAAACTGCTTCGTAGAAATCCTGAGGGAACTATAACATGAACCCATGGAAGCCAGTCTGAACATGCACCCTATCAGTGTGCTGTTGAAAGGCTGCTAGAACTTTTGATTGTATCCATTTTATTTCCTATGCTTAAATTCAGGAGACATAAAAAAGTACATCAAATGGCTAGGGATTAAGGAAAGAGGCACTATCTAAGATGACAATCTCAAGAGATGGCAGTAGACACATCTCAGTCAGTGCCCTGAATAAGCACCCGGAAGAGCCGACCAACCATTTCAGACAGGAAACACACCTGGCCTTTTCTCAGGGCTACATTAGGTTTATATTCAAGTAAACACCTGGTTTGCTTGACCTGATTCATAGGGATTATACTGAGCATCATGCTAGGGTCTGAGAAAAAAATCACAGGCATTTTCTACTTACAGAGGGAAAAGGCTAGAGATTACTTTTGAGTATAATTTTCAGAAAGAGAATGTGTTGGAGTAGCCAGTCAGGCTGGTTCATTTTAGATATCTCTTAGGCAGACTCCTCCAAGCTGAAAAGGTACAAGAGAGTATTTCATAAATTTTGACTGCCGTTATGAGGGGGGCAAGGTGATTCCCTCTTTGTGGGTGCCTGGAGTTCCCCAAAGCTTCCTGTTTCTTTGCCCTACTTCCTGATAGTAAAAAAAAAAGTGGCTTGTACTTCTCTTTTTTTCCAAGAGGAGAAACTGCAACCTGATACCTTTGCTGTCCTGCCCTATGTGGCATTGCCTCAGGATCCCTCTGCTGACATCCAGGCAGACATAATAAACAGACTGAGCACTGCTCTTGTTTTCCTACCATGCTGCCTTACTCAGGGTTACAGAGAGTAGGCTGAGAGCCTGTCCAGCCAGGCCAGGATTATTGTCATGCTGCTGGGCCACCTCCCATGTCCAGCACACAGGCTTTGCACTCTTGATTCCACATAGTGTGGTCACATATTTGTTCTAAATTTTTATTAATTTTATAACAAGGGGACAAATATTTCCCTTTGTACGGGATCTGCAAATTCTGCCCAGGAGAGCACACATCTCTCAGGAATATAATATTTCAGAGGGCAAAACTTTTGGGCTTTGCTTTCTTTGTTTATAGAAACAAGGTCACACATTGAAGCTCACTACCTATTCCTTTTCAGTTTTCCTATCTATAAAGTAGGGACACTTGTGACCATCCCAGGGAGCATGTTTGTCTACATAGAAGTGTGGACATTAATTATACTGTAGACTGGAGATTAGCTTAGCCCTGTTGACCAATACAGTGTAGGATACTTGCTTGCTAAAGATGAATTATTACAGAAATTTCTGATAAATCAAACTTCCTTCTGAATGGTAACTTTGATTTAAGGCTGTTGGTTTCGGCACAGGCATGCTAATTTTAAATATTCTCCTAAGAACCAGCAAGGGAAGAAGATCACTGAATCCTTGTCCTGATTTTGCATCTTACTGGCTGTGTGAGCTGTGAACCAAACCTGCCTGAGCTGATTTCCTTGTTCAGAAGGGGCAGGGACTCCGTTCCATAAAGCTCCCCATGTTCACAGTAGAGGAAAATAAAGCTTGAAAGTCCAATAAGCGTGCACCAGAAGTCCACAGGAAAAAAAAATAAAATTCACTCAGCAGAGAATTCAAGAGAAAAAAAAATCCAGAGGAAAGAGAGACATCAAATGCCAGTTCCATCCAAGACAATGATTCCCAATGTCTCTTCTGTGGTCTTTAGGACCACATACCAATTTTCTCCACCTACCAATTCCTTTATAGTCACAAAAATGTGGTACAGAGCAAACTATGAATGCCCAAATTTTCAGCTGAAGAAACTGAGGCCCAATAAAACTTACATACATTGCCCATATTACACAGCTGACTAAGGACTGAGCCAGACCTTCTGGGCTTGTCTTTTCTCTTCAAATTGAGCATTAGGCCTTACTCTGACTCTCACACAAAAGAAGAAACTGCTAGGTCAGAATGTAAAATTAGTGCTATTAAATACTTTTTACCATCAGTATGGTAATTTTATGTGATTTTCTCTAATAAAATTAATTTTGAATAATATAAAAGTTAGCAATTATTTACAAGATTTATTATTTATCAAATTTAAGAATTAGATTTTTCCATCTAAAACCCAGAGCATTTTACATAAACAAAAGTCAAAGACAAAATATTGAAGTGCTTATGTGATGGTCCTGTTAGCAACGCCTCTGGGCATGCTTACAAGATACATTCTTTCATTACAAAAACAGTCTGTATGGAAAAGCAGTTGGCCTAAGTGTCAAGCATTTTTACCAGATAACAAGCCAGGAAAGAGGAGGAAAATTATTCATGCCAAGAAAATTTCCCTAAATCCTTAAGGGGAAATGTTCATAACAACCCCAAAGGGTCAAATGAACCTAAGAAGATGAAGACCGCCTTCATTTAACAGTGGTTTTGTAGAGATCAGAGCAAAGGGAATACAGTAGAGGAGAGTATGTCTATACTCTTGCAGTTTTTAGACACCAACCCTGCTCCACTAGCTGACTTTACTTTATCATGAAATACAGTCTATTTATAATTCTGTCTGAGCAATAATCCATTTCTTCTCTAAAGGGAAAATAGATAAAAACTTGTCATTTGAGAGTCACATTAGCTGGACATGGTGGCATACAACTTCATTCCTAGCATTCAGAAGGTACAGGCAGAAGGATCTCTATGAGTTCATGGCTATTTTGGTTTATATATTGAGCTCAAGGCCAGCCAAGAAAACCTCATCTTAAAAAAAAAGTTACATTCATAGTGCGAAGTTCCATATTCTTAAAACTTACTTTATTTAGCTGTTGTAATCTAGAGTCTCATATATCCCAGGTTCATCTACACTCCCCATGGATGAGGCCAAGACTAGCCTTAAGGTCTTTATTCTCATTCCTCTATGTCACAAACACTGGAATTGTAGGGGTATACTCTTCGTGGCCCCCCACCTTTCTTTGCGCTATTGGGAGTGTTGAATGCAAGGCCTCATTCTGACTAAGTAAAACCTTTACCCCTTTATTCCAATGAGCTGTATCCTCCATCCTACTTTTTTACTTTGTTGTTTTGTTTTGTTTTTGGAATAGGGTCTTACTAAGTTGTCCAGGCTAGCCTTGGATTTACAATCTTTCTGTTTCAATCTCCCAAGCAGCTAGAATATTGGTTTGTATCACTAGGTCCCACTCAAATAACTGCTTTTTGTTTAATTAAAATGTATTATTTGCAAAAATATCTAGTGACAGTTGATTCTGAGTCCTTCCGGTACTAGTGCTGAGAAACACAAAGAACTCACCTTTTGCCTTCCAGTTTAAATTCAGATTTCACCAGGCAAATGGTTGTTAGAGGTTTGTGTAGCATCTAGTCCACCCAAATAATATTTTCTTGCTTCCAAACATTTGTGTGAAATCTAAAATCAAATCACATGCTCATAACGTGATCAAAGAGCCCTACTCATTAAGGTAGGAGAGTGGCCCCCTCAACTTTGAAAAATTTCATTTGCTAATTGACTATTCAGCTACTTTGTCTTATTCTGTTTATTTTGATTATATTTCGTATACATTGGCTCAATTAATTGTTTATTGAGATTAGGTTCCTGATTGAAGAAAAAAGGCAGAGACTAGAAACAGTTCTCTTTTCTCTCTCTCTTTCTCTCCTTTTTTTTTTTTTTTTTTTTGGTTTTTCGAGACAGGGTTTCTCTGTGTAGCTTTGCGCTTTTCCTGGAACTCACTTGGTAGCCCAGGCTGGCCTCGAACTCACAGAGATCCGCCTGCCTCTGCCTCCCGAGTGCTGGGATTAAAGGCGTGCGCCACCACCGCCCGGCTCTCTTTTATCTCTTAATTTCTACTTTATTCTCACAGCTGAGGTGCTATTTCATCACTTATCTCAAACTTCACTTTCTTTTCAATAATCAATTCAAAGACTTGTCTTCTTCTCCTAACTGGTTAAAGTCATGGGAAATAAGTGTACACATAGGCATAAAACCCAACATCAAGAATTTTTTCCTATTTATTAAGAATTTCATATATGTTTATTCCATCCCCTCCCACCTCTCTCCTGGGGCCCTTCTCATGTGTCTCCTTCCAACCTCATGAGCCCTCTTTCTATATCCCACTGCATCCAACTGATGTTATCTGTGTGTGCTTAAATGTGGAGTCATGAATCAGAACATGGGCAACCTGTACTGGCCACACTGACCAAAATAAATGACGATCCCTCTGCCAGCCACTATCAACTGCCAGTAGCTCCTCAACTAGGGGTGAGATTTCATAAGCTCCTCCCACATCCATGTGGATTCCTCCAGTCTCAATCTTGCTCAAATAATCACAGCTGCTGTGTTCACGAGTGCTATACTCATGTCCAGAAGACAGCCTTCGCCAATACTCCTCCACATCTAGCTCTTACATTATTTCTGCTTAGAAGCCTGGGATATTCCCTGAGTCTCAGCAAGGGGGTTGATATTGATATCTCATTTAGGGCTGAGCACTTCCAGTAGTTTATCCTCAGGACTTTGAGCAGTTATGTATATCTCTGCATTGACCACTGCCCAGTGTACAAAGAATCTATTTGACCAAGGCCGACAGTAGCACAAATGGAAGTGTGTAAACATGAGTGTTTAGAAGGCGGTTTGACAA